GGGGGGTAAATTGACATAGTGCTTCATATATTCATGAACTGGAAAAAGAGGGTTTTTCAATTTTGAATAAGTCACTACTACAAGGTTCATGGATATCCAAAGAGACTGTTTCATTGAAAATGTACTCAAAAAGTTTTTCAAAAGAGAATTAATCATCTTTCGCCAGACATTGAATGCAGTTTCATAGACCAGACTTTAACTTTTCAGCTTTTTTCATGAAGCAAATGAACTTGCTAAAGGGTCATTCAAATTGTAAAAGTAAAAGATTTTTTTTTCAAAGTTGTGTTCTTAAAAATGTAGCATTTATTTCTACTACACTGGTTAGTAAAGAACGCCATGGTTAGAGAGCATTCATGGCAGTAAGGCTCTTCTTGCAAACAGGATTGAAAGAAGTCCTTCCTGTTAGTTTTTCCATTTGAAGTGGAAATATCTTTTTAAATTAATAATAATAGTACAGTCAAAGTAGCCAGCTAATCTGCAGTTTTTAGTAATTAAAGCTTTTTATATTAATAATATTAGTACAATCATAGTAGCCAACTAATTTGTAGTTTTTGGTAATTAAAACTTTTTACAATAATAATTATAGTACAATCATAGTAGAAGCCAACTAATTGGTAGTGTTTGGTAATTAAAGTGAAATGCATTCTGTAGCGGCATCATAGTGGGGTAACCTTAATGAAAAAGGTAGGGCTGATTTGTCAGCACTAATTTTGGATGAGGATATAATTGTGAAATGTGTGCAAATTGAAGAGTTACTTAAGTGTTGGAGTGGAATGTCGGTTGTTTGTCCAGATAACGTATCACGACCCACGGACTGATATCAAAGCGCTGTTATTTGTTTTTGTGCCATATGCTGCGTGTTTTCCGAGCAGCAGATAGTAGATAGCGTCTGTGGCTCTCTTTATATTTGCTTGGGTCACAAACAAAGCTTGAGAGAAGACACGGATCAGATTGTTCCCATTGGGAGAATCGGGTCTTTTTTTTTAGTTTTGGGGTTTTAAAAAAAAATTTAGAATGTGGGAATGAGATTGTGTTACAGTGAAACATTCCATGATCGGGTCTGTGTGGTTGTCTAATGAACTGGTGTAGTGTTCAGTGGTGACATATATGGTCGCTTTTAAGCACAAGGGTCTATCCCGAAAAATTTCAAAAATGCTGTTTTGAGAAAATCTAAGGTAAAGTTTTTGGCCCTTGTTCAGTAAAAAAAAAAAAGACAAGCAGAGTTTTCTCGAACCAAACAAATATACACACCAATGAAACCAAACTTCTCCTCTTGGTATGGCAATGCCCACTTTTGGTGTAGGTGAAGATTTCTGGAAACCCCCGAAATCTGGGTTAGCCCGCTTGTCCTTAAAAGCGACAAGTTATAATGGAAGTGGCTAGCACTTTAGGGTTTGTGTGAGGCATTTTCTTGAACTGCATGGCAATGTAAACGTGTATGTTTGAGACAAAGTTTCCAGGAAGGGGGGGGGGAGT